TTTAGAAACTCAGAAGCTGATCAAATATCGGGTTAAATATCGGTGGGGTCGCCGATGTCCGATATTCAGTTTTAAGGCCTATACCGATAGGGGGCCGATTATATCGTGCATCCCTACTGGAAAATAATTGCCATCATGGCTTCATGTCAAGCTGCTGCCTACCTTTGTGAAGCAGGAAAAAGACTAAAAGTGAATCCAGTAAAAATTTTTATTGCCTACCTGGAATGTGTGACAATAGTTGAATAATTTTTGGCTCTCAAAATGGTATCGGTGCCCTATTTGTTGGTACTCACCGATACCACCATTTTAGAGCTGGACCACCTGATACTTGTATCGGCGCAACACTAGTAACAATAATGGAACAAAATTAACACCATATAAATGTTAAACAAGTGTAAATCTAAACACAAAAGAAAAATATTTTTCTCAAATGGAACAGAATGGATGGTGCAGCAATGTTTAAGTGAGTTATGCAGTTATGACATGGCTGCATAATGTGCTAATGCATCGCTGAATGGATGCACATACAAAAACAGACCATCAATATGGGCCAAAAACATCAGCCAGTCGATGTATCGCTCTACATCTAGAGCAGAATTACAATCGCTGGGTTGAAGCTGTATTTGGAGGAATGTTATTTTTCAACCAGATTATGATGCAGTTCTTTATGCTTTCCTGTTATGAGTGGCGGAGCGTAACGTTAGATTAAACTAAATGTTTTCATTCCAGGTGAAATTCCAGGAGAAACATTCCCAGAAACATGTACGAGCCTCGTTACTATGACCGACCCCCTGTGTACAGTCCACCCTACAGCACCACCTCCCACAGTTTCTACCCTCCAAGAAGCATCCATTCCCCCCCCAGCCAGTATGCCTCATACACCGACCATCCTCCTCCTGACTCCTACTATATGGAGGGTCAGCCTCAGCACTTCTACAGGTGGTTCTCCCCTCCTGGTTTTGTTAAAACCTTCCAAGGAGCTACAGCCCTCATGTGCTTCATCATCTTCGCCTGCGTGGCTTCAACCCTGGTGTGGGACATAAATGGCTTCGGGTACGGAGGATACGGCGTTGGGGACATGGGCCCCGTTGGAGGAGCGGGTTCAGGTTATTACGGAGGCAGCTACGGCTACAGCAGCTCCTACATGACGCCGCAGGCTGCCAAGGCGGCGATGATCTCCATGGCTGCCATCAACTTCCTGGTTTCACTGGGTTTTCTGGTGGGAAGTTTCTCGAGGTCCCGGATGATGCGAGGATGCAGGTTTTACCTGACGATTTTCATCTGTGACATCATCCTGGCTGTGCTTCAGGTGGGTCCTCAGACAGCAGAATCACGATAAATGGCTTTTTCTGCCTCTACGATCGCTTTGAGAAGAGGTATGGAGCTGTTTGAAAAAAAAAACTGAGCCATACATTTTTTTAAACTAATGCTGATTATTTTGAAATCAGTCTAACCGATCCTGTGCTGCCGATTTTTTGTTCTATATGCTTTTTCTTTCTCCATTTAGATGAAACTACAAAATGATAAAAGATGTTGCAACAGATCTTGCAATTTATTTTCCCCTCCATCGCAAAAATCCTATAAAATATAGAAATAAATGTTTTTTTGTTTTTTTTTTACAAATAATGAAAAAAAATAATAAATAAATGAGTCAAAAGTGTTTAATGGATGAAATGAGCCACAGAGCCTCCTGCAATCCCGCAAATGACAGACCCCCTATGGGAGGAATTTTGTCCCATTATTGTTGCAAAAAAACACATTTAATAAATGGAAATTTAAGAATAAAAATGCAATACAAATATTAAAATTTGAGTCCAAAAAAGGTTTTAAGAGGAACTTTTAAAACCGTTTCCATGTCTTCCTCATTTTTTCTTCTTACAACCTATATTTGTTATCTTTTAATTTTTACAGCTCTTATATTTTCACATTTTAATTTTTCAGATTTCTCTCCCTCAGGTTGTGTTTTAAATTTGCTCTTTTAAAAAGAACATTTCTCAGATAACATTCACTTAAAGTCTGATACCAATGCTCACTTTTAACCTCCAGCAGACCAAAAGTATGGGAGAATTATCCTGCCATAATGCAAGA